CGTCTTTCATGATTTTAAAAATTTTCCTTTTGATAATTTTCAATGACATTTTTATTTTCTAATGAAACTGATTAGCAAAAATCCAAAAGAAATTCTAGAAAGAAAGGATTATTCATTAAGCATGTGAACAAAAGCTTGCTAATTGAATAGACAAGACAAAGCTGAAATTATCGTACCCTAATCTTTGTTTTTGTTTTCCCTTTCTTTCAAGTAAGGTTTTATAACAAAACCGTGGAACTTTGTGTATCAAAGTTGAATTGGTCAAAAAGAGATAACTGCAACCAAAGCAAGATTCATATTTCACCAGTAGTGGTCGCAATCGTCTTCCACTAGCAACACTATCTCCCGAGCTTCCTAGTAACTACCCCGAGACATCAATCAAGATAATAAGTACTAAGTCTTCATAGTTTCAGTGACTTTGTTCTTTTTTCTCTTCTCACTGCAAACCATGACCATCTTCACTTTCACCTTCTTAAAACTCTTCTTCCTCCTCCTACTACACTTCTCCACACACCTCCAAGCCTACACCTCAGAGGAAGTTTTCACCATCAATTGCGGCACCACCGGGAACTCCTCCGACGGTCAAAGAACGTGGACCGGCGACGCAGACACAAAGTACTTATCTTCCCAAGACGGCTCCGTTTCAGACAAGGCGACAACACAGTCTCCTTCCGTCAATCAAGTCCCCTTCTCCACTGCACGCTTGTCCCGTTCCCAATTCAATTACTCCTTCCCTGTCTCCCCAGGCACCAAATTCCTTCGCCTCTTCTTCTACCCTGCAGACTACCCTTCCTTTCCCCGCACCCACGCATCCTTCTCCGTTCAATCCAACCTATTTACTCTCCTCAACGATTTCAACGCCTCTCTTAACGCCGAAGCTCAAGCCACCGACACTGTTTTCAGAGAATACGTCGTCAACGTCAACGACGGTGAGAGGCTTATCCTCACCTTCACTCCCTCGCATCCAAACTCTTACGCTTTCATCAATGGAATCGAGGTACTTTCCATGCCAACCGATTTATATTACACACCAGCAAATGAGACAGGCTTCACGTTCATCGAACGTAGCACGCTGTACAGCGTTGGAACCAGCTTTGCTCTTCAGACTGAGTATAGAATCAAAGCCGGAGGACAAGAAATCTCGCCATATAACGACAGCGGTTTGTTCAGGGATTGGGCTGCCGAAGAACCTTACTTTATCAAACACAATCCAAAGAATGATGATCTATCAGCTGACGTTGATGGGAAAATAAACATAACCGTGAATCCCGATTACTTGGCACCAAAGGAACTGTTCAGAACATCGCGTAACATGGGCAGAAACGCCACTCTGAACAGAATGAGCAACCTCACTTGGGAGTTCCCAGTTGATTATGGCTTCACTTACGTTCTCAGACTCCACTTTTGCGAGCTTGATCCCGATATTACTGCTATCGGTGACAGGCGATTCACCATTTACATAGCGAGTCAGTTGGCTGATGAGCGTGCAGATGTAATGGTTTGGAGTCAGAAACAAAAAGGTCTAGCTGTGCATAAAAACTATGCCGTTTTTATTCCCAAGAATGGTGCTCAGAAAAAGTTTAATCTCTCGCTTCAAATGCACCCTTACGGAACCAGTGTAGATTCGAGATACCCAGATGCCTTCCTGAACGGTCTAGAGATCTTCAAAATCAGTGATTCGAACAACCTAGCTGGACCCAACCCGGACCCGGTTCAGACTCCACAGAACAACGTTCCCAGCCAAAACGGAAAGACCAGCGGCGGAAGCACAACTATCATTGCCGCTATAGCAGGGGTGGTGTCAGGCATCGTTTTGATCTCGCTAATCGTTTTCCTTGTCGTGTTTTTCAGACGTAAGAGAACCACAAAGCCAAAAGATTACAACAAGTCAAAGTCTTCTGCGACTTCCAAATGGGGTCCACTCTCCTTTACAACGACCAAGTCAACCACTACGAACTCCTCTCTACCGTCCGATCTCTGCCGCCACTTCTCCCTTGGGGAGATCGAAGCCGCCACCAACAACTTCGACGACGTTTTCATCGTCGGCGCCGGGGGATTTGGCCATGTGTATAAGGGCTACATCGACGGCGGTTCCACCCCAGTGGCCATCAAGCGACTCAAACCGGGTTCACAGCAGGGGGCGCACGAGTTCATGAACGAGATCGAGATGCTCTCGCAGCTCCGCCATCTTCATCTCGTGTCCCTAATCGGATACTGCAACGAGATGAACGAGATGATCCTCATCTACGACTTCATGGCACGTGGCACCCTACGCGACCATCTCTACAACACGGACAACCCCGCTATCCCGTGGAAGGAGCGCCTGAAGATCTGCATCGGCGCCGCGCGTGGGCTGCACTATCTGCACACTGGCGCGAAGCACACGATCATCCACCGCGACGTGAAGACCACAAACATCTTGTTGGATGATAAGTGGGTGGCCAAGGTCTCGGATTTCGGGCTTTCCCGAATTGGGCCCACAGGCATGTCAAAGGCCCATGTGAGCACCGTGGTGAAGGGCAGCATAGGGTATTTAGACCCAGAGTATTACAAACGACAGCAATTGACGGAAAAGTCTGACGTGTACTCTTTCGGCGTGGTGTTGTTTGAGTTACTCTGTGCTCGTCCGCCTCTGATCCGCACCGCGGAGAAGAAACAGGTGTCACTGGCTGATTGGGCGAGACACTGTTACCAAAATGGGACCATTGCGCAGATTGTTGACCCCGCATTGAAGGGGAGGATCGCACCAGAGTGCTTGAGGAAGTTCTGCGAGATTGGGGTGAGTTGTTTGTTGGACGATGGAACGCAGAGGCCGTCGATGAACGACGTCGTTTGGATGCTGGAGTTTGCGTTGCAGTTACAAGAGAGTGCGGAACAGCGAGATAATGATAACGTGATTGGCGGTGAGGGGGTTAATGAAAGAAGAGAGGAAGGTATGGAAGATTTGTTTAGTAGTGGAACGAGTGTGGGTCAGGTTTCGGATTTTAACAAGAGTAGTGGAAGTGTGGTGAGTGTGAGTACCAGCAGCGAAGAGCTTAGTAGCAGCTATAAAGAGAGTGATAGATTAGTGTCTGGGACTGTTTTCTCTGAAATTGTTGACCCAAAGCCACGTTGAGGGAATCAATCAAGTAGATGAGAACACCTACTACTACTGCTAAAGCTCAAAATTTATGTGTTTAGTTTCATATTTCTGATGTTTCATGTCTCTGTACAGGAATCAAGTTGCTTCTATCTCTCTTGTGAATGAAGACAGGTTGCAAAGTAAACAGATTTCAAGATTACGTGTTTAATTGTTGTAACAATTTTTCTCTCCGATGATTTATGTCAATTTCAACATTTTTGTTGTCCGCTAAGTATCTTAATTTCACCTGCACGTATACCTTACGAGTTTGTAGTTATGAAACGCGAATCAAACATAATGGTAATTCTGTGTCTGCATAAAATAGTGTTTGTATGATGATATTGTAACCAGGAAGCATGGGACAAAGCAAGCAGTAAAATTTAAAAGACTCAACAGGTTCAAGAAGCTTGTTCCTTAGTTATATCACCAGTCCACTTGTTCTATGTGCAAAGATACACGTCCAGAAAGTAGTCTATTCTGCATAACTTCCTACATTATTTGTGACCTGACCTCCACTTTTGTAGTGGTATAACTAGTATGCAACTTCTACCTCTCCATCTCTTTAGAAATAATTTCTTTGATTCTTTTTGTTAACTTGTTTAACTCATAACCTTACTCACCTCTTTCTCAATATATCCACTTATTAGAATTCGTTAACTTTTGAACACTTAGCAGAAAATAAACACTCTTTGTAAAGAAATACTTGTTTTATCACTCTTTTGAGACTCTATATAGAAGACAAGTTCAATGTTAAGACTGGAAACCAATTGAGATATAGAAATCAAGTTGTAATCAAAATCAAGTATGTATAAAACATCTTGAAGAAATAGTTTTCTGTTAATTTTAACAACTCTTTTATGGGTAGCTTTAACACATTTTCCATTAGGGAGCTTAACAGTGATAGGCGTAATAAGATTACAAAACAAAAATTATCCAAGCAGCAAGATGACCTGTTCCACCAGATTCAAAAATCGAACCACCTTTATTTTCGTCAAAACCATTAATGGAGAAAATTTTACCTCCATGCTTACCATTTACATAGTTGTTGATAGAGCCGACAAAATTAATTTGAGTATTTATTGAATCAATGTTGTTATCACTTTAGATTTTTGTAGCAGCTTCAGAAGTGTTCGATATTGATGCTATGAAAGTATGAAGTCTCCAGAGTCACTGAAATTGTGCAACACATCAAATCCCGCAGCCATTCCTTTTCCTGCATCTCACAAGCATTTTCTCGAACTGTTTCCATGTTGTTATCAAGAACGGGTGAAACAAGACAGGTGTTGTAGAGTTTTCGTTGGGATGAATATACATGCAATTATCTACAGCATGTGTTTGACTTACTTCTTCTACCATGGAAGAAAGAAAACAAGAAAGAAAACAAGATTTGGAAAGAAAAGAAACTAAGAAAAAGAACAAGAAAAAATAAACGAGAGATGACGCAAGAGAAAAATCTAATTCATTAGCATTCAAAAAACACTTTTAGAACAATATTTTGTCAATATAGTTGTTTTTACGAAATTTGGTATTCGTGTTAACAAAACTTTACAAAATAAAATGTATTGGTCGAGTATTTTTATGCTGGATGACTATGAATAAAGAATAGTTTCTAGTAATTTATTTTGTAATAAAGAATAATAAAGAATTACAAAAACTTTACAAAAACTTTCTACGGTAAAAATAATAAAGAATCGAAAAATTTGTGATTTTTTTTATAAAATCTTTTCAAAATTTATTAATTCTTTTAAATTTAAATTACACAATGCTAATCATAATTTTTTCAAAAAGAATTACATTATGAAAAATCTTTTCAAATTTTATGATGCTCTTATCTAAAAAAAAACTACTAAAATTCAATTAAATACTCCTCTTAACAAAACTCCGTGTCTGCCCTCTTTGTTTTTGACGGTATTCATTAACTGGTGTTGATTTGTACAAGAACGCAGTGGTAGCAACCATAGCACGTTGCGAAAATGGGTTCGTTGGGTCGGAGGAGCATGTCCACGGTGGCGAAAGCGGTGGCAGATATCACAGGAACCGGCAACACCAAAATCCGCAAATCTTCCAGTGAACTCTGCACCTTCCTTGGCATCCCTAGGCATTCTCGTTCCGAAATTGCCCTCATTCTCTCGAAGTTTATCAAACTCTACAATTTCCGGGTTCTCTCACCTTACCTCACTCTTCACTCCCAATCTTATTTTACACTTGATTAGATAACCGTGCTTCCTAGTTCGTAAGGTTAAATTTAGGGTATTATTGACATGATATGTTTGCTGTGCAGAGTCCTGGTATTAAGAAGGACAAGATTTGGGAGCAGAATTTGCAAAATTTGTTGCGTGGAAGAAACACTGTTGGTTTTCCTGAGATTGCCAAGATACTGTCTCCGGAGTTCAGCCAGGGTGCCATTAATATGAAGGACAATAACATGGATTCTTCGATGGATAACACAAAGGGGAAAGGTTCTCAAAAGAAAGGGAAGCCTTCTAAGAAGTAGGTCTTCCACATGCTTATCTTTTTAAGACCCAACTTAGATTTTTGAAAGTTGAACTTTTGTGTTCGCTTAATCTGCAATTTTTCGCGATTATGTCATGAGTGAGTTTGAGTGGCAACCTGTTGAGACGGGTTTGGTTATTGTGTTGTTGTCCTTTGATATAATGTGATTTCGCTCCCTCTTTTAGCAAATTCATAACTTACATGATATACTTGTTTTCATTTGCTCTTTTTATTTGTACTGTGTCAGATGAATATTTTCGGTATTATGCCCATCAATGAATGAAAAAATATTGTTAGGTTGTCAATTATGCAGTGTTTGATTGTTTTCTTCAAACCTCTAAGCCATAACTTAGCAATTCATTGTGTGAACTTCCGATATGAGGCATGAACAGTAACCCGAGATGTTGTAGAAGTTCTCTGGTTGTATCTTTTATAGGTAAAGATGCAAGAATTTGCAAAATATCTGATAATTTCCACTCGATTAGAAAGAGTAAATAAATAGTGTATGCACTGAGTGTAAAGAGTTTTTACACCGTCATTCATTCACTCACTGCCTTGCATGATAAGTGAGTTGATTTTTACAGTAACTATCTTTAGAATTATACTTAGGAAGATTATATATTGATTTTGTTTACCCTGACAGTATCTACAAGTTAGATAAAATTCATCGTTGAGAGAGGAAACAACAAACTCGTGGTTTCAAAGGCCTAACGATGACCATAATTGTGTTTTAGGGATTGAAAACGGTTATAAGCATTCGGCCTTAAAAGTCCAGATGCTATCTTTGACCCTTATGCTTATTAGAATGCATAGTGTTATTTCCCTTGCTTCTTATCATTTGGCGTACATAAACACGTATATCCCTTGCATTAAGGTAGTTGAATTTATGTTGGAGAAGAAACATAGAGTTTGTATTCTCTAATTTATTAAAAATATGTCTTGTACATCCAACCCAGTTAGGGAGAGTTGATAAAGTTTCTGATGCAGACCATAACAACAAAGTAAAATGGAAATAAAAAAATAATGCAAAAATGGAGTAGAAATGGAGGATGTATTATTTATCACTGAAAAATTGAAACAAAATGCACTAGAAAGGGTAAATAATACCCCAGAGCGCAGCTCCTTACAGAGAAGCATAAAAGCTACTCAGTCCCTCCATAACAATGTCAACGAAAACCCCCTCCTCATCTTCTCATACTACTTAAATAATGGGATTCTACTCTCTCTATAACTAATTTTGCCAGCTCAATATTCTCTTTTCCTATATCTGATCTTTTCCCTTTTCTTTTGTAGACAATCCACTCTTTGGGCTTTGTGGTTGCCTCTTGGACTATCCTTTCTTCCGGCCCAAAACTTCCTTCTTGATCCCCATCATTACCCCTTCCACTAATAGCAATCTTGTCCTCAAGATTCAAGTCAGGAAATTGGCTCCGTATGACCACTATATCTTCCCAAGTTGTTTCTTCGATTGGTTTTGCAGCCCACTGTTTCAACCACTGTTTGACTCGTTCACCATGTTTTACCACCACTCGAGAAGCCAAAACTGTAATTGGAACCCGTGTATCAACACCATCCCCACCCAAGCCTGTAGGTAATTCAGACTGCACCTTGTAGTTTCCTACTGCTTTTTTTAGCAAGGACACATGAAACACGGATGAATCCGAGTTGTCTCTGGTAATTTCAAGCGGTAAGCCACAGTTCCTATGCGACTGATGATTTCAAAAGCTCCATAATATCTTGCAGAAAGCTTGGCATTATTTCTAGAAAGAACAGATTTCTGCCTGTGAGGTCTCAGTTTCAGAAACACCCAATCTCCTATGTCAAAATTGCTTTCTGATTGATCATCATGGTAAGCCGAACTCATGCTGAGAATAGTGCCTTGCAATCTGAAAAATTCTTTCCAGAATTGACTCATGAAAATAGGGTCTCTATCACTGAAAATTGAGAGAAGAACACCATGTAACCTCACAATCTCCTTCACAAACACCTCAGTAGAAAGTCTGTCCACTATGACAAATATAGCTTCATACCCTTTAGATCCTGGCAGTCCCGAGATGAAATCTATCGTGATGTCATCACATACTTTCTCTGGAATAGGTAGTGGCTGCAAAAGCCCTTATGGAGATGCGGCAAGATATTTTTGGCATTGGCACGTGTCACAAGAACGCACATACTCTTGGACTGTTCTTTTCATGCCTCTCCAATACAAATTCGCTACCATCCTTCGATATGTTCTGTAATACCCAGAATGTCCTCCTTGAGGTGTTGAATGGTATTCTTCCAACAAATACAGACATCCTTGAATAACTTAGCATGAAACACAATGACATCCCCTTCCTTCAGTTTATGCGCAGTCGTTTCCAACCAAATCAATTCTTGGCAGACCTCATCGAAGAATTCGTAATGAGAATTTTGCATTTAACTTTGGATTCCATACCATTGAGTTGGAGATATGTGAACCTCCATTTGCGATTCGCAAAGTTAGTTAGAAGGTCATGAGAAAATTAACATAAAGAAATAGACAAATCAAAACGAAATGAAGTTGTTTTTAAAATTATAAAGTTAGGAAGTCAGAAAAATAAAGTGGCTTCCTCTGCATTGAGAATAAATGAGGGTAAGTCTGAAAACAGAAATGGTGTTTTGCCGAGCAACTGCAATGTGGAACTTTTCCAAATTTAAGTTCGTACATTCACCTAGTTCAACTGTTATTTGGAAATAACATTGTCGTCGTACCTAAACATAAAATGATTTCCTGTTATGTTATAGATTTCTCCTAGGACTAACCAACCTTCGATAATCCGAGGGTGGTTGACATCTCTGTTGTAGATGACCACAGTTTTACTACCTCTGGCATCTACAAAAAACCATTTCTCTGGAAGTTCTTTGACGAAGACGAAAGCAAAAATTAAGTCTTCACTATATTCAACAATAACCAAAAAATATACTGAAAAAAGTAATTTTTTTAGGGAAATAATGGAATGAAACATAAATAATAGATAAAGTCACGTAATAATGCTTTTAAAATCACATCTATTAGATGTAACAGAATTTCTTAAAATACATAAACTGACTTATATGCAGTATTAAAAACTTAAAAAAAATGATTTTTATAATACATTTATAACTAATGAGGCATAATTTAAAACTGACAAAGTAAACAATTTTGTAGGTTAGAATAAATATTGTGTGAAATTAAAAGTTTGAAAAGGAAGAAGATAATTGTAAACAAAAATATAAGAAAAATATGAAAGAAAAATGGAGTAAACCTGAATTTGAAGATGGATGAGACAGATCTCTCCTCTTGTATGTCTTGCATATATCATGGAGGGTAACTCCATTTATAACGATCAAATAGGAGGAAAAAAATTCTCAAGGTCTTTACGAAATGAAATGTACAATGATGTGAAACATAGAATTATAAGAGATTTTTCAATCTCGTAATCAAAATACTTTTAATTTAATTTAATTCAAATTTAAATACATTTAACATTCTCATAATTAAATACATTTAACATTCTCGGAATTGAAATTAATTAAATGAAGATACTAATGTCTCGATTTCCAAGAACTTTATTTTTAAAAAACATATAACCAAATATTTTAATATATATTAATGAATTAATAAATATGAATATACATTAATATAAAAAGATAAAACTTTATATAAATATATAATAAAAATAATAGAATAACAATACGTACTAACAAGGATGAAGCATTTGCTGGACATGAGTTTTTTCTTACTCCGTAAGGATGAACTATTTGATTTCTTCTATAAACTCTCTAAGAAGATAGAAAATGAAAAAGGCTATAAAATTGTTTCGATCAGAAGTGATCATGAGAGAAAGTTTGAAAATGAACATTTTTTAAAAATTTTGTGAAAATTCTGGCATTAATCACAACTTCTCAATTCTAAAGACACCACAACAAAATGAGGATGTTGAGAAGAAAAATATATCTTTACTTGAAAACAGATCTATATTAAATGATTTTAATAGTCCCAAGCACTTCTCAGCCGAAGGAGAGAACATAACTTGTTATCTTCATAATAGAATTTATACAAGACCTATACAAAACTCCATATGAATTTTGGAAGAATAGGAAACCCAACATTTCATACTTTTTTCGGATGTCAATGTTTCATTTTGAATATCAAAGATAATTTAAGAAATTTGACTTTGAGAGCAATAAAGGAATCATGCTTGGTTATTTTGAAACCGAAAAGAATTTAGAGTTTATAACTTTAGATTGTCTAAGGTGGAAGAAGTTATTCATGTCAAGTTTAATGACAATGAGCTTGACCATAAAACTTTAGAGCTAGACGATGCATTTTCTACATTACAGATAAGAGAGATAACGTCTAAACCTGCCAACACATCAACTACGCTAGAAGCGTCTATAGCTCCAAGCGAGTCAAGAGAAACCAAAGCGTCTAAACAAGAAGATGAGAATTCTGAAGAGAAAAGAGAGCCTAGTGGGTCACATCGTTTAATGAAGAAGAATCATCCAATGAATAAGATTATAGGTGACATTAAAGAGAGTTTCAAGACCAGATCATTCTACAAACAAAAGCCAACAGCTCTCATCTCCCAAGTTGAACCATCTAACGTCAATAAAGCTTTGGGAGATGACTCCTGGGTCAAGGCCATGCAAGAATAACTTGACCAGTTCCAGAAGAACGATGTTTGGAAGCTAGTGAAGCTATCCCAAGGCAAGCACATCATTGAAGCTAAGTGGATTGTTCGTAACAAGCTAGACAAAGATGGCAAGGTGGTAAGAAACAAGGCACAGGGCTTGTCGCAAAGGAGAGAGATTGTTAAGACAAAATGGTCTAGAAAGATTGGACTATCTAGCAACTCATATTTTAAAGTTTAAACATCTTATACTAAATGTAGCGTTTAAAAGAAATTTTACTAAAACACAGTTGATCAACACAAGCAAATTAAAAGCGACATCTCTGGAGTTATAAAAGTTAGAACTATGATAAAAAACGTGTCTAAGACAAGCATTCTTAAATGCCATATATATTACATTTAAAAGCATAAACTTGTGCCAAACGATCAGTTCTGCATAACATGCCTAAACACTCTCTTAAAGTAAGAAAATTAAATGCATGGGACATACTGCACCGTTGTCTACTTTGTTTTCTTTCTCTTTATCAATACAGATAATGACAATACCAAAGCACACCGAAGCACGTTTAACAGATTTTGGTAATCAAACTCATAATCCGGTAGCACTGGCATACAATAGTACTTGTACGATAACCAGGAAGCGTGGTAATGAAGGCAATTAATTACACTTAAAAGAGACTCAAACATTACAAGAACCTCGTTGCTACTTGCTATGCTTTCTGGGCTGAGCAAGCTTGTGAAGTAGATCCTGGCTGAAAATGAAAAAGAATCAAAATCCAATGAGTTATTTACTAACTTTGTGTTCAAGAAAGAAAGTGTGAAAATTTCCTCACCACAGGCATGGACATCATCACAACCACACAAGAGTTTCCCATTGAGTTTATCCAAAGCTTTANCTACAAGTTAGATAAAATTCATCGTTGAGAGAGGAAACAACAAACTCGTGGTTTCAAAGGCCTAACGATGACCATAATTGTGTTTTAGGGATTGAAAACGGTTATAAGCATTCGGCCTTAAAAGTCCAGATGCTATCTTTGACCCTTATGCTTATTAGAATGCATAGTGTTATTTCCCTTGCTTCTTATCATTTGGCGTACATAAACACGTATATCCCTTGCATTAAGGTAGTTGAATTTATGTTGGAGAAGAAACATAGAGTTTGTATTCTCTAATTTATTAAAAATATGTCTTGTACATCCAACCCAGTTAGGGAGAGTTGATAAAGTTTCTGATGCAGACCATAACAACAAAGTAAAATGGAAATAAAAAAATAATGCAAAAATGGAGTAGAAATGGAGGATGTATTATTTATCACTGAAAAATTGAAACAAAATGCACTAGAAAGGGTAAATAATACCCCAGAGCGCAGCTCCTTACAGAGAAGCATAAAAGCTACTCAGTCCCTCCATAACAATGTCAACGAAAACCCCCTCCTCATCTTCTCATACTACTTAAATAATGGGATTCTACTCTCTCTATAACTAATTTTGCCAGCTCAATATTCTCTTTTCCTATATCTGATCTTTTCCCTTTTCTTTTGTAGACAATCCACTCTTTGGGCTTTGTGGTTGCCTCTTGGACTATCCTTTCTTCCGGCCCAAAACTTCCTTCTTGATCCCCATCATTACCCCTTCCACTAATAGCAATCTTGTCCTCAAGATTCAAGTCAGGAAATTGGCTCCGTATGACCACTATATCTTCCCAAGTTGTTTCTTCGATTGGTTTTGCAGCCCACTGTTTCAACCACTGTTTGACTCGTTCACCATGTTTTACCACCACTCGAGAAGCCAAAACTGTAATTGGAACCCGTGTATCAACACCATCCCCACCCAAGCCTGTAGGTAATTCAGACTGCACCTTGTAGTTTCCTACTGCTTTTTTTAGCAAGGACACATGAAACACGGATGAATCCGAGTTGTCTCTGGTAATTTCAAGCGGTAAGCCACAGTTCCTATGCGACTGATGATTTCAAAAGCTCCATAATATCTTGCAGAAAGCTTGGCATTATTTCTAGAAAGAACAGATTTCTGCCTGTGAGGTCTCAGTTTCAGAAACACCCAATCTCCTATGTCAAAATTGCTTTCTGATTGATCATCATGGTAAGCCGAACTCATGCTGAGAATAGTGCCTTGCAATCTGAAAAATTCTTTCCAGAATTGACTCATGAAAATAGGGTCTCTATCACTGAAAATTGAGAGAAGAACACCATGTAACCTCACAATCTCCTTCACAAACA